AAGTTCTATGGCTTATGTTATAAAGCAGAGCAGACTGGATTATCATAATGTTCCAAACTTTGAAATTTATGAGTTTACCTTCTGAAAATCTTTAATTAAATGACACTGCAGTCTAGGTCTTTTAACCAGAACCTACATTAGAAAAGAATAAAATGGAAGTTAATAATACAGAACTTGCTTTTCTGGAAATTAAGTAGGTTATTCATAAATTACCATTTCTATAATATTTCTTTACTTTCTGGTCATCAAAATGAAAACCTTACTAGTAAAATCCAGTGGGTAAGGACTTCATTACTTCTGTCTTTGTTAGACCTATAATTAAAAAAAAATCAATTTCAGTACAATAACCATGAACAAAATTGCATGATTTTTGCTTTATAGCTGTTAAGGTGCTTTAAAACTTCACAAACAGTTGTGTTTCCTTAAGGAAACTTAATATTATACACATTCTAAATTTAATAACGCTAATTTTAATGACCTGCAATTATTTTTTGATTGCACCAATATTCCTCAAAGCTTGGGAGGGTGGGCAGAAATTAGACAATTTGGGAGCTACATAAGGGATTTTTTTCAGTCATAGAAGTGCTAAAAAATGTGTTTTTATGAGAACTAGTTTGCAACCTTTTCTAAGAAGCCCTAAGAGTGTCTTCATACTAACAGCACAAATATGTATGGCTGATTAGTAGAAATGTGTTTCTGACAAGTACTCTGAAAGTAATAACTCAGCCATAGCCACCTTCCTGTCTCTTCCAACAACTACTGATGTGTCCTCAGACTCTGCTTCCTTAAAAGTGGCTCATCATTTCTGAATGATTCACCTTCTTCAAAAGTTTCAATACATAAAAAAGTTTTATGGCAAAATGTACAGAAGGAATTCACTATAACTGGCTTTTACATTGATAGAATTAAGTGCACTTGTAGGAATTTCATCTAGGTTTCTGTCTCTGTTTCCACAGCCTGATCTGCTGTCATTCAAAGACTAAAACTGCTAAAAATATGTTGATCACGAAATTGCATAATGTGACTTGTGAATCTGAAAGCATACACTTGGATCTTTTGATCTTTATGTAGTGAGAAACGTATGTAGCTTTTAGCTCTATAAATCTGGGGCTTTTGGAGACCATTTAAATGTACAAAAAGCTAAGGCCCACACTCTCCTCTAATTTTGTGATTGCTGTTAATTCTCATGCTTTTACTTTTGCCTTCTGTGTTATGCTATTTCTCCATTCAAAATAATGAGTGCAAAAAATAACAAGATCCTTTAATTTTCCTAGATTTAAAGTGAGGATTTATATGTGATATTCATGGCTATTTTATAATGTTACCCAATTAAAAGTGTAAATTGTTACACTCACGTTTTAGAAAGCAATCTTTTGATGTGATTTTGAAATCTGTGTATATCCGCGCTTTCTTTTGAGTATTACAATCTCTCAGGCTTCAGATATATAGATCTAAAGTGTAGAGGCTTCAGTGCTGTAGATCTCATATAATTTCACCAAGCATTCTTGAAATACTCCATTTTGATAATATAACTTAATTAGCAGAGTATTTTATATTTTTTGGACAGCAAGGGCTCTTTCTGACTGTAACTCTTTCCAAAAGAGCTCAGCTTATTCTCAGAGAATTTATCTGAACTATTGAGTAGTTCATACCAACCTTTTTAGAGAATAACTGTTTCCTGAGTTATTTTTATTAACTTAGAGCTCTGAACGGGTGCTAATTAATATAGCAAAAACAGTGCATCATGACCTGGATTTGGTTCAATGTCTGCAGCCTTTCAGTGTATAAGCAGGAACAGGGTTTCTGCAAAGGGTATGCTGTAATGACTCATGCTGTGCAGCATACGTGGCCAGATCTGTTAAAAAAGCTGTTGGAAGACTAGGGATTTAAATAAATAACTATTAGTGAACTACCTGCTGAAATAAAAATATTTATTTGTGTGTGTGTGTGTGTGTGTGTGTGCGCGCTTATTAATTTCTAATTATTTTCTAAAGCAAGATATTTCCAGAAAGAACTCTGTTAAAGGTCTAGTGCATTTTCCGTGGCCCACTCATATTCATTCTTGCTAGGTGCCTGGGCAGTTTTGTATTTGGCAGAATTCAGCTCGTTAAGAAGCCTGCTCCAAGCTATTCCTCAAAACTACTTAACTCCTCTATGTAACTTCAGGGCTACAGCTCCAAGGGTTGTGGCATCCTTTCAGTGTGTTGCTTTTAACAGACAAGCAAGCACCTGTATCACATACCCATTCCAATCTGGAATGTTTTGAACTAACAGACTTCTTGGAGGAATTAAGACACCAACTTGTTGGTTGAACTATGACAAGCGTGAGGTTGCTTGTGGCCCAATACTCAGTTTTTAGCAACGACCACTAGAAGGTGTCTAGGGAAGTTCTTAACAGGAGAGTATTTTCCCTAAGATGCTCTTTCAGCTTACAACAATTTCTAGCTCAGGCTTTTGGACTAGTTATAGTGTTAAGTTTCTTCAGAACAAGTAGCTTTTAATCTTAAGGGTCAATATTAAATATTATGTCAATAGCAAAATGAACTAAAAAAATCAGCTCAGGAAAGCAAACACTTATAGGACAAATATTGTTTCTGTTAATGCCCTTTATTGTGTGAGGTCCTTGTTATGCCTTATAGCTAGTAGAAAAGATAAAAATGTTCACTGTGCCTGTTTTTATCTATGATGAAAAGCAGAGGCAAAAAGCTAAATAATGATGAATTCATTTGCAATAACTTCTGTGTCTATATGGAGTATTCTTAGTACAGATCTACCTTTCACAATGCTAATAGCTTGGATGAGGGTACTATTCTTTAGAAGCTGCATGATTGTAACGAAAGGCTGTTGTGTATCACAAATAGTGAACATACTTCATAAACTTTTAATATGTAAAACTGGAATAATCTCTTTTCTGTCACCAAAAAGTATAAAGTATCATATGCTCCAAAGGACTAAAAGTCTTCATTTCTTTCTTTTCTCCCAGCACTGCTCCTTATCTTCACAAAGGAAAAAAACTATATTGATCATTGACACTCTTATCTCAAGAGATGCTTGAAGTGACAGTGTCCTTGATAGCACTTGTCCTAATTCTATGTCTAATTAAGAGCCACAGATCTATTCTTTGCTTGCTCCACTTTGCAATATTTTTAGAGGTCAGAGCTCAGGATATAAAAATTCTTCATATCCCCAAAACATGTTATGATATAAAAAACCACCAATTTTTTTAAAAAAATCCCAAAGCAACAGCAACAAAATCTCTCCAAAAGCAAGAGTGGAAATCTCTGCAGACAGCAGAACTTCAGACTAAATCAAACTAGTCAAAATGTTATACACCATATCATTGCTCTCATGATATTTCTTTTTTTTTTTTTTTTTATTTTATTAAGGTTGGCCTTATGCCTATTCCTAAGAATGGGCATTGCCCACAAAAATGACAAGACACAGCAGTGAAAATTGAGGTATAACGCTATGAATTCTTAATTATGTGGCCTTGTGAATTCAGGACCACATAGAAGTGCAGACAGGTCCTCAACTAACTAACTAACTAACGAAGGTTCTGGAGAAGCCAGAAAAGGAGCTGCAAAATACCGCACTCCTTGCAAATGTGTGTCACTGCCTCTTGCTCCCAAAACAGTGTGTATCTAGAAGGGCTGGATGTGCTTCTGCAGGACATCTTCAGATTAGTTACATCAGGAAGGAATAAAATTGCTTTAACTAAAACTGAAAACCAAACTCAATTAATAATAATGATGAGAAAATATGTTTTAAATCCACATTTCTGATCAAAATTCAGAAACTTATATAGATACCTTAGCTTTGAAGGTGAGTCTCACTTTATAGATTGTTTTCCTGTGTGCTTTTTATCTCATATTTCTGTGACAGGAAGTAAAGTAATCATCACCTTTCTAACCCCACATACATTAATCAGTGAAGCAATATTGAAACTCAACATGATCTATGAAGTATCACAGAGACTATATGATATTTCACCTTTCAGCTTCACCTGGGCAATCTTTTAAGCCCTGAATTTACTGCTGCAATCTGAGATGCATTACTTGAAAACCTCACAATGTCATGATATTCTCAAGAAATTATGCTTTACTTGTCATATGTTCTGTGGTCAGTCTGATTTCTTTGATTGCAGTGAAATTATATCATCTGGTTGAAGAGATGAACCTTTACAGATGTGAATCAACTAATAACAGAATTACAGACTCTTCACACCATATAATGTATAATCATATCCCATTTTCATACTAGGCATCAAAGCTTTTGTAGATTTGTAACACAGAAGTCCATGTTTGACTGGGATTGCAATTTTATCTCTTTTTTTTTTTTTTGTATTGTTTCTGTCTGTATTTGAAGCGTTGCACTTCCTTGCATTTCTCCTCTTAAGAGGATTTCTTGTTCAGACTAAAGGCATTATTTTCTTTCAAGTCCTTCCTCAAACTTTATTTACAATTACATACACAAAAACTTAGCAGTTATATAATTGAACTGATGCACAGAGGGAACTAGCCATCATACCACACAATCAAATCTGTTTTTTTTAACCCTGATCTTCTTGTATCATGACTAAAGTCTTATCTAAGCTTTATTCAATACTTTAATACTAGGTAAGATTCATATTACATTTTTGTACAGCCCACTGCATTATGAAGTCCATTACTTACTTCTATTCATGCTAGAAAAAAATGTTTTTATAATATAAGTAATAATGTTTTATAATATAAGTAATCATTACTGCTGCATGCTGACCATCAATTCAGTACACTGTTTAATATGGGTAAGAGTTTTTCAACCTATCTACAGGAACACTATTTTTAATACCTCTAATTTTTTTCACTGTTCTTTACTGTGTAGTTCTATACAGAAACTTTTTCCCCTATAATCACCCCCTATATCCCCTACTTCTGCCATGAGTACCTTTTTTTTCCTCTCAGTTGCATTTGAATGGAGGGATTTACATACTGCTAACTTGTTCCTTGTTTTTTTTTAAGCCTCTTGTTTCTCCCTGAATGATTCTTCTCAAAGTAAAGAATGGCAAGAGTAGAACCTGGCAAAGATTTTGGAATCTTCTTCCAAGAACTGGAGAACATGATCAAGCATCACCCTCAGGGCACCATGTTCAAAACTTCATTTACTAGCATTGTAAATGAACTCATTCTCTAATTAGCAACTTGGAGTCTAAGAAGAAAAAGACTACTTGATTCCTAACATATGATGGAAGTCAAGTATAAATTTTCTTTTTCTAGACCAGTACTACTGTTATGTGAAATCTGGTACTATAAACTGTTACTTCTCCTGGATGTTGCAGCTGTAGGCTGATTAAAACTCAGCAGGAAGAGCTACAATAAACAAATACCACCTGCTGTAAGAACAGGTGTTTGTGTCTTCATTTAGAAACCAAAGTGAAATAGAAGATGCCAAGGGGCTGAAGTAGATCAGTGTTTGGATTGACATAATTTGTTACTACTTGTCCTTGAACTTAAAAGCATATTATTCTGCTTTCAAGACTCTTTGGTAGGGACACAACACTTGTTTCTAGCAATTAAGCAGCTCTCTGCCTTCTCTGTGCAGCTGCCCATTCTTCATACAAAAAGCATCCACTGAAAGTTTCTCCATTCGCTGCTGGATAGCGTTATGTCTTGACAGAACACTGTAAACAGAGAATACATAAAGACAATGTTTAGTATTTTACTTAATATCACTAATCTTATCAATGATGTGTTTGATATGGTGATCTTATCTTTATTCCTCAAAGGATCACATCTTCGTTGGAAAAAGAAAATAAAAACCCCGAAATGTAAAATCAATCTGAATATGTGCAAATGAGTATCTTTCCTAAAGCAGGGAAAGGTCTGTTCACTGCTTGTCTTTCTTGTTTGCAACTTCTTGATGGTGATTTCGAATTGTAGAATTCTTCTTTCATAATAACTCCTCTGATTTTTCTTGCTTAAGAACAATTTTGCTATATGTTTAGATACATGTTTTTTTTCATAAATTCATAAGCTATTTATATTTTTATGTAAGTGAAAAAATACAGTTGGGTGCATAGCAATGACAGTTATATACATTTAACTAAATCCAGGATCAGACAGACCAAATGGGTTTAGCCTATCCCAAAGAAGATACCAGGAAGTGACTTTCCATGTTAGAACTATTCTCAAAATACTCAGCAAAATGATTTTGTTCTTTTGAGATTGTAACTTACAATAGGTGACATTACCATAGTTCAGGGCAGTAGATAATGCTTACAACCATCCAGGAAAGAAATCCAAGGTAATGAATACAATTTTTAAAGTCCTTTTTTTTGTTTGTTTCTTTTTTGTTTTTTATCTTTTGCAAGAGATGTAGCATATAAATAAGTGCTGAAATTCCATAATACCTAAAGGGGATGTATAGAGATATTATTGGGAACACAAGCAATATCAGAAAGTCATTTAAAATCTACACACTGCCAGCAGTGTGGATTATAAAAAGAAGAAACTGAGAATTGGAAAGCTGGTGGGAATATTTAGCATATTTAAGATGTTAAAATTTCTTCTCTGCCTTATTTAGTGAAGCTGTATGGGTAGAATGGGAGTTGGAGCAGCATCCTGCCAAAGGTAGGATTACCTGGGGAAAGAGGGAGTTATTTGCTCTCAGATTTCTGACAATCTAGATGCATAGTCTTGGAGGTAAATAATCTTAATAAATAATCTAGATCAATATCCTAAAAGAGAGAGTAGATAATTTAAGCTGTTTGTTAAAATGCTAACATATAACACCTTAGAAAACATGGAGCTATTTTTATATTGTTATACTGAGGTTATATTTTGGGGTATATATTGTTATATATATTGTTATATATTGGGGTTTGGAGAAAAGCTTCCATGACTGAAAAAGAGGAAAGAGGCAAGTCATATGGATAAAATCTGCTGGCACAGATATTAAAGATCTCTGTACCTCATCTAAAAAAGTCATTTTACTACTGCAAAGAGGGACACATTTTGTGTATTAAATAAAACAATTGTATAATGAATAAGATTTAATATAGAGGAGGAGGCATTTATAACAGAAGTAAACACCACTTGTAATTCCAGCCGTAGAATCCTTAAGGTTTCTTTCTGAAACAAAATTCTATAAAATCTGCCCACTCCATTTATTCTGATCAATTTTTATTTTTTATGGGAGTGTGAAGAAGTTATGTACCTGAAAGCTCAAAATGTTCCCAGTCCAGTACAATATGTGTGTGTTTATTTAAGTAATATCAAAGGTAGTAGTTGAGACGGGGAATAGTTCTGTTTCATAGCTTTAGTCCTTTTTCATATAACGTGGTTCCAGAGGCTTTCAAACAGTATATTCACTCAAAAGACAAAGCAATGAGCCTACTTCAATGGTCTTAAAAGCACACAGTGGTATCTGATTATTAGGTAAAGGTTTTCTGAGAGTTCTTCAAGTTCTTCAACTGCCTTGAAAAGCATTCCTACCTCTCTTCTCTGTCTGAATTTACTAAATTGCTTTTAGTCACAAATTGTCCCCTACACTGAGTTGTCAGATACATTGTTTATTCTGGAAGCACCTAAAATGCCACCATGCTATGTCAGGGTTAGAATATGGTATACATCCTCTCACATGGATATAAAGGTTAATCATGCTATAGTGGCTCTATAGTAGTTATTTTTTCTCCCAACAATTCAAAAATAGACTCTTATTGAAGTGTATGTTCTTAGAAATAAACATTCAAGATAGTGAGAGATTATTTATCTGAATCCTGTCTTTGTGTCTGCCTCTGGGGAAAGTTGATGCTAGTTCCTGTTTTATTGCTTTTGGTGGCCTCCCTGAAAGAAGGAAACCAGTAAAACTGCTAAACTTTTCTAATAACCATGTATTCAGGACCTTTTGCAAATCTATATTCTACTGCTGAATTCTTAATATTTGTCATTTTCAGAACTCTTACCCACACGAATTTTACTCTGTGGTCTCTTCTGCTACAAATTGTTGCATTTGATTTTAAACACCTGAAACAAGCATTATCATTTTTCTGAGTAGGTGAAAGCATCAGTAATATGCCCAATTTCACAGCATTTGCTCAAAAAGTAATTGATCCATATGATATTCAGCATTCTGGCAGAGTCTCCAAAGCTCAGAGAAAGTGATGACTTCCAATCTTGTTTTTAAACAGTTACCTCTATCTGGAAGGTAACTGCAGTTGGCTAAGACAGTGGGTAGCACCCTAAAACGTTCTCTAGTGTCTTTATTATTTTTTCTTCTAAAAAAATCTGTGTATACTTTCTCTTCTGGCCAGCCCAACTTATTCTCTCTACCTAAAAATGTAGTCTTGCTAACTCTCCCATAGCTTATTTAACTTTCATCCCAATTTGCCTCAATTGTCATTGGTTCCTAATTGTGACAGGCTAATTTAATAATCTGTGTAGCTGGTAATCCCAATTATAGCACTACATAAATATTTATTGTTACTATTTGCTAAATAATAACAAAAAAAAGTTTCACTACAGATTTTTATAGTATAGAAAACAGCAGAAACACAAAATCTTTATACAGTGTTTTGTTGTTGTTGTTGTTAGTGAATGATTATATAGCATGCACCAAAATACCAAATATGTCAACAATAAATATATCGCTAAAATGTCACCACAGACAAAAATGAAAATATATTTGGTAATATCAGTGTGGTTTCTACCCTAGTTTGTACTTCCCAAGTTACATATTGGAGATCTAGCTTAAACTTGCAATATCATGTAATATAATTTCAGATGCAGTATTTTAATCTTGCCATGAAAAGGCAAAACATTGGTATGAATATTATACCTTTTGTGTAAGAGTATATTACGAAACTGGTAGCTAATGATACTTCATATCTTGTCTTGTGACTAACTAAATTTCCATTATAGTTCATAAAGGCCTTGGGCTGTAATGTGAGCTGTTGTGGGAGTTATTCCCCTGTTTGTTGTGTTATGAATTTTATGATTTTCATAACTTTTTTTTTTCCTGGTGTGTTCTCTAGTTTTCATCTTCACACTCTTGAGCCTTAAGCCCTAGTCAATCATCAGTCCATATAGAGGGTGTCTTTATGCTCATATGCATTTCCTCTGCAGTAATGAAGCAATTCTGGATGCAAAAGTCTGCTTAACAAATCATTTCTAAACTTTAATCACACACAAAACTTTTCAGTCTACATCCTGTGGGATTTAGAAGCCTTCAGCTTATGTCTCTAAGCATTCATTACTGAGAGAAAAATCCAGGAAGTTTTCCTCATGAAACCTTCACAAACCTTTAACTCTTTTTCAGGAAGCTTACATTTCCAAAATAATAGTTCAGTAATGTTCAGTATGACATTAAGCTTCTAAAATGCAGTCCTTGAATGTGACCATGTTAAAGAACAGGGAGCAAAAGTACTCTTTTCTGCCTATTTAAATTTTAAATCAGTATCAAGTTTAAGCAACTTTTTTTTTCATGAGCTGTACAATGATATTTAAATATAAATAACTGAATCATCTTACTGTTTCCTTACAACCCTATCAACGAAAGGTGTCAAGCAGGTTTACTCTGAGCAGTACCACTTTCCTTTGTACCTGAATATTTGCACCTCCTTGTGCCTCCTTCCAAGTACAAGGACCTTATACCTCCTTGTACCTCCTTCCATATCTGAGTAAGCTGTTAGAGTTCCTCTAATTTTGTAATTGCTGGATTACTTGATAGGCTTTAGGACTTCCATTGAGTGCAGGAATAATAAAGTGACAGCTGTTTCATATGTTTAAAAGTGTCTCATACAAGGTTGGTCTCTATCCTTATCAAAGCCAATGACAGTAATCCGAAGGAAGAGAGAAAGAAGGAGCTCTAATAGTTCTTTAAAGCTTTGTGGTAGCAGTACAACAGGTGAGGGCAGCTAAAATGTATGGAATCCAATGCCCTGTATTTTCTCTATGGAAAGTTTCAGCAGTAGAGAATCAGTCCAAAAATCATATCAGCTTCCTTCACTGAAAAATGGAATGTGATGTTGAGACTTCCAGCCAGCAGAGGAGCATATTTAACCTCCCACAATGACACTTTCTGCACTCCACAGTCAAAATAAGCTACAACAGTTGAAACTGAAGGGGATTTTACACAGCTGAGAGTAACTGATGATGTCATTAAGCATATTATTGACAACAATAATACTAAGGCTGATCTTTCAATCCAGGAAAACTAACTGGAACA